GGTGTGGAGAAACAAGGGTGTGGAGAAACAAGGGTGTGGAGAACAAGGGTGTGGAGAAACAAGGGTGTGGAGAAACAAGGGTGTGGAGAAACAAGGGTGTGGAGAAACAAGGGTGTGGAGAAACAAGGTGGTGGAGAAACAAGGGTGTGGAGAAACAAGGGTGTGGAGAAACAAGGGTGTGGAGAAACAAGGTGTGGAGAAACAAGGTGTGGAGAAACAAGGGTGTGGAGAAACAAGGGTGTGGAGAAACAAGGGTGTGGAGAAACAAGGGTGTGGAGAAACAAGGGTGTGGAGAAACAAGGTGTGGAGAAACAAGGGTGTGGAGAAACAAGGGTGTGGAGAAACAAGGGGTGGGAGAAACAAGGGTGTGGAGAAACAAGGGTGTGGAGAAACAAGGGTGTGGAGAAACAAGGGTGTGGAGAAACAAGGGTGTGGAGAAACAAGGGTGTGGAGAAACAAGGGTGTGGAGAAACAAGGGTGTGGAAAACAAGGGTGGTGAGAACAAGGGTGTGGAGAAACAAGGTGTGGAGAAACAAGGGTGTGGAGAAACAAGGGTGTGGAGAAACAAGGGTGTGGAGAAACAAGGGTGTGGAGAAACAAGGGTGTGGAGAAACAAGGGTGTAGAGAAACAAGGGTGTGGAGAAACAAGGTGTGGAGAAACAAGGGTGTGGAGAAACAAGGGTGTGGAGAAACAAGGGTGTGGAAAACAAGGGTGTGGAGAAACAAGGGTGTGGAGAAACAAGGGTGTGGAGAAACAAGGGTGTGGAGAAACAAGGGTGTGGAGAACAAGGGTGTGGAGAAACAAGGGTGTGGAGAAACAAGGGTGTGGAGAAACAGGGTGTGGAGAAACAAGGTGTGGAGAAACAAGGGTGTGGAGAAACAAGGGTGTGGAGAAACAAGGGTGTGGAGAAACAAGGGTGTGGAGAAACAGGGGTGTGGAGAAACAAGGGTGTGGAGAAACAAGGGTGTGGAGAAACAAGGGTGTGGAGAAACAAGGGTGTGGAGAAACAAGGGTGTGGAGAAACAAGGGTGTGGAGAAACAGGGTGTGGAGAAACAAGGGTGTGGAGAAACAAGGGTGTGGAGAAACAAGGGTGTGGAGAAACAAGGGTGTGAGAGAAACAAGGGTGTGGAGAAACAAGGGTGTGGAGAAACAAGGGTGTGGAGAAACAGGGTGTGGAGAAACAAGGGTGTGGAGAAACAAGGGTGTGGAGAACAAGTGTGGAGAACAAGGGTGTGGAGAAACAAGGGTGTGGAGAAACAAGGGTGTGGAGAAACAAGGGTGTGGAGAAACAAGGGTGTGGAGAAACAAGGGTGTGGAGAAACAAGGGTGTGGAGAAACAAGGGTGTGGAGAAACAAGGGTGTGGAGAAACAAGAGGTGGTGGAGAAACAAGGGTTGTGGAGAAACAAGGGTGTGGAGAAACAAGGTGTGGAGAAACAAGGGTGTGGGAGAAACAAGGGTGTGGAGAAACAAGGGTGTGGAGAACAAGGGGTGTGGAGAAACAGGGTGTGGAGAAACAAGGGGTGGAGAAACAAGGTGTGGGAGAACAAGGGTGTGGAGAAAACAAGGGTGTGTGAGAAACAAGGGTGTGGAGAAACAAGGGTGTGGAGAAACAAGGGTGTGGTAGAAACAAGGGTGTGGAGAAACAAGGTGTGGCGAAACAAGGGTTGGAGAAACAAGGGTGTGGAGAAACAAGGGTGTGGAGAAACAAGGGTGTGGAGAAACAAGGGTGTGGAGAAACAAGGGTGTGGAGAAACAAGGGTGTGGAAGAAACAAGGGTGTGGAGAAACAAGGGTGTGGAGAAAACAAGGGTGTGGAGAAACAAGGGTGTGGAGAAACAAGGGTGTGGAGACAAGGGTGTGGAGAAAAAAGGGTGTGGAGAAACAAGGGTGTGGAGAAACAAGGGTGTGGAGAAACAAGGGTGTGGAGAAACAAGGGTGTGGAGAAACAAGGGTGTGGAGAAACAAGGGTGTGGAGAAACAAGGGTGTGGAGAAACAAGGGTGTGGAGAAACAAGGGTGTGGAGAAACAAGGGTGTGGAGAAACAAGGGTGTGGAGAAACAAGGGTGTGGAGAAACAAGGGTGTGGAGAAACAAGGGTGGGGAGAAACAAGGGTGTGGAGAAACAAGGGTGTGGAGAAACAAGGGTGTGGAGAAACAAGGGTGTGGAGAAACAAGGGTGTGGAGAAACAAGGGTGTGGAGAAACAAGGGTGTGGAGAAACAAGGGTGTGGAGAAACAAGGGTGTGGAGAAACAAGGGTGTGGAGAAACAAGGGTGTGGAGAAACAAGGGTGTGGAGAAACAAGGGTGTGGAGAAACAAGGGTGTGGAGAAACAAGGGTGTGGAGAAACAAGGGTGTGGAGAAACAAGGGTGGGAGAAACAAGGGTGTGGAGAAACAAGGTGTGGAGAAACAAGGTGTGGAGAAACAAGGGTGTGGAGAAACAAGTGTGGAGAAACAAGGGTGTGGAGAAACAAGGGTGTGGAGAAACAAGGGTGTGGAGAAACAAGGGTGTGGAGAAACCAGGGTGTGGAGAAACAGGGTGTGGAGAAACAAGGTGTGGGAGAAACAAGGGTGTGGAGAAACAAGGGTGTGGAGAACAAGGGTGTGGAGAACAAGGGTGTGGAGAAAACAAGGTTGTGGAGAAACAATGGTGTGGAGAAACAAGGGTGTGGAGAAACAAGGGTGTGGAGAAACAAGGGTGTGGAGAAACAAGGGTGTGGAGAAACAAGGGTGTGGAGAAACAGGGTGTGGAAAACAAGGGTGTGGAGAACAAGGGTGTGGAGAAACAAGGGTGTGGAGAAACAGGGTTGTGGAGAAACAAGGGTGTGGAGAAACAAGGGTGTGGAGAAACAAGGGTGTGGAGAAACAAGGGTGTGGAGAAACAAGGTGTGTGAGAAACAAGGGTGTGGAGAACAAGGGTGTGGAGAAACAAGGGTGTGGAGAAACAAGGGTGTGGAGAAACAGGGTGTGGAGAAACAAGGGTGTGGAGAAACAAGGGTGTGGAGAAACAGGGTGTGGAGAAACAAGGGTGTGGAGAAACAAGGGTGGTGGGAGGGGGTGTGGAGAAACAAGGTGTGGAGAAACAAGGGTGTGGAGAAACAAGGGTGTGGAGAAACAAGGGTGTGGAGAAAAACAAGGTGTGGAGAAACAAGGGTGTGGAGAACAAGGGTGTGGAGAAACAAGGGTGTGGAGAAACAGGGTGTGGAGAAACAAGGGTGTGGAGAAACAAGGGTGTGGAGAAACAAGGGTGTGGAGAAACAGGGTGTGGAGAAACAAGGGTGTGGAGAAACAAGGGTGTGGAGAAACAAGGGTGTGGAGAAACAAGGGTGTGGAGAAACAAGGGTGGTGGAGAAACAAGGGTGTGGAGAACAAGGTGTGGAGAAACAAGGGTGTGGAGAAACAAGGGTGTGGAGAAACAAGGGTGTGGAGAAACAAGGGTGTGGAGAAACAAGGGTGTGGAAAACAAGGGTGTGGAGAAACAAGGGTGTGGAGAAACAAGGGTGTGGAGAACAAGGGTGTGGAGAAACAAGGGTGTGGAGAAACAGGGTGTGGAGAAACAAGGGTGTGGAGAAACAAGGTGTGGAGAAACAAGGGTGTGGTAGAACAAGGGTGTGGAGAAACAAGGTTGTGGAGAAACAAGGGTGTGGAGAAACAAGGGTGTGGAGAAACAAGGGTGTGGAGAAACAAGGGTGTGGAGAAACAAGGGTGTGGAGAAACAAGGGTGTGGAGAAACAAGGGTGTGGAGAAACAAGGGTGTGGAGAAACAAGGGTGTGGAGAAACAAGGTGTGGAGAAACAAGGGTGTGGAGAAACAAGGGTGTGGAGAAACAAGGGTGTGGAGAAACAAGGGTGTGGAGAAACAAGGGTGTGGAGAAACAAGGGTGTGGAGAACAAGGGTGTGGAGAAACAAGGGTGTGGAGAAACAAGGTGTGGAGAAACAAGGGTGTGGAGAAACAAGGGTGTGGAGAAACAAGGGTGTGGAGAAACAAGGGTGTGGAGAAACAAGGGTGTGGAGAAACAAGGGTGTGGAGAAACAAGGGTGTGGAGAAACAAGGGTGTGGAGAAACAAGGGTGTGGAGAAACAAGGGTGTGGAGAAACAAGGGTGTGGAGAAACAAGGTGTGGAGAAAACAAGGGTGTGGAGAAACAAGGGTGTGGAGAAACAGGGTGTGGAGAAACAAGGGTGTGGAGAAACAAGGTGTGGAGAAACAGGGTGTGGAGAAACAAAGGTGTGGAGAAACAAGGTGTGGAGAAACAAGGGTGTGGAGAAACAAGGGTGTGGAGAAACAAGGGTGTGGAGAAACAAGGGTGTGGAGAAACAAGGGTGTGGAGAAACAGGGTGTGGAGAAACAAGGGTGTGGAGAAACAAGGGTGTGGAGAAACAAGGGTGTGGAGAAACAAGGGTGTGGAGAAACAAGGGTGTGGAGAAACAAGGGTGTGGAGAAACAAGGGTGTGGAGAAACAAGGGTGTGGAGAAACAAGGGTGTGGAGAAACTGCATGCTGAGGTAAAGAGAGGGGGCACCTGGCAGGGGATGAAGAGGCAGCGCTGCTGCAGGCGTTGGTGGGCGGTGAGGTGCGAGTGGCTGAGCTGGGCGGCGTGGTGGCGGAAGGCTGTGACGTCATCCACCAGGTGCGCTGACTCCAGGCGCTGCCCCACCCCATGCACCATGAACACCACGTGCTGCACTGGCACCTGGTGGTGTGAGGGGGGGAGGGAATGAGGAGTGGGAAGGAGGGAGTTTCTTTGAGGCGCCTCAAAGGTCGCTGCCCCACCCCATGCACCATGAACACCACGTGCTGCACTGGCACCTGGTGGTGTGAGGGGGGGAGGGGAGGGGGAAGGAGGAGGGTGAGTGAAGCGGTTTGAAGCATTCGTGTAAGCAGGAGGTAACTGAGCGAAGGATGCGACACAGCAGAGCAGTAAGCCGATGCATGTTATCCATGCCGTGCATGCCATCCATGCCATGCATGCCATATGCATGCAGCACTCATTCCACCCACCATGGAGCAGTAGTCATCGAGCTCCTCCTCCTTCACCTGCTGCTCGTCCTCCTGCTGCCACGCAGCGAGAGACAGGGAGAGCGAGGGGGGGTCAATAGGGGCACGGCAAGGCAGGGGCAAGGTGGCACATACACACATGGAAAGAAGGCCAACTACAAGTGTGCTGGAGGGAAGGGTTGACTAGATGCGTGGACTGCACTACCTAGATTCTGGAGCCGTGCAAAGACTCGTTGCACGTCCACCTGGCACTCACGTGGGCGGCAGGGATGGGCGGAGGAGGCGGGAAGCCCCTGCGGACGGCCATGGCATGCAGTGGCGAGGAGAAGAGCCGCGCGCCCTCCACCCACAGCTGCGCCCTCCAGCTGCTGTCGTCCCCCGTGAACACCGCGCTCACTCCCTGAGAGGATGTGAGGGAGTTGGGAAACGGGAGAGAACTAGAGTCTGAGAGAGGGTGTGGGGAGAGGGTGTGGGGAGAGGGTGACAGGCGTTCATGAGTGAGGTGCAGCAAGGTGCAGTGAGGTGCAGTGAGGTGCAGTGAGGTGCAGTGAGGTGCAGTGGCTATGATGCAAAATACTGCCAGCCTACACGCCCACACAAACACACATGACATGCCAGCCTCCCTCCTGCCCACTCCACCACGGTCACCCCCTGTGCAGCGGTCAGCACTCACCTCGCCGGCGCCAGCGATGGGCACTCTAGAGGCGAACAGCCCTGACGGCTGGAACCACCGCCGCCGCCACACCTGCACAGCACAGGGAGACACACAGATGGGAGGGGTTGAAAGAGGTGGTGAGAGGTACCAAGAAGTGAGAGGGAATGGGCAAAGGAACGAGAATCAACTGCATGGGTGGCCGTGGGACCAACCTCTCCCCCCCCTCCCCTCTCCCCACGCTCCCCTCTCCCCACGCTCCCCTCTCCCCCCGCTCCCCTCTCCCCACGCTCCCCTCTCCCCCCGCTTCCCTCTCCCCCCGCTCCCCTCTCCCGCCGCTCCCCTCTCCCCACGCTCCCCTCTCCCCACGCTCCCCTCTCCCCCCTCTCCTCTCTCCCCACGCTCCCCTCTCCCCACGCTCCCCTCTCCCCACGCTCCCCTCTCCCCACGCTCCCCTCTCCCCACGCTCCCCTCTCCCCACGCTCCCCTCTCCCCCCGCTCCCCTCTCCCCCCGCTCCCCTCTCCCCCCGCTCCCCTCTCCCGCCGCTCCCCTCTCCCCACGCTCCCCTCTCCCCATGCTCCCCTCTCCCGCCGCTCCCCTCTCCCCACGCTCCCCTCTCCCCACGCTCCCCTCTCCCCCCGCTCCTCTCTCCCCACGCTCCCCTCTCCCCACGCTCCCACGCTCCCCTCACGCTCCCCTCTCCCCACGCTCCCCTCTCCCCACGCTCCCCTCTCCTCACGCTCCCCTCTCCCCACGCTCCCCTCTCCCCCCGCTCCTCCCTCACCCGCTTCCTGTACGCCTCCTCCAGCTGTTCTGCCACGTCCTCCCTCAGCGGCTGCCACGTCAGCTGCGCCTTCCCCTTGCCGAACCACAGCCCTCGCAGCACACGGCGGTCCTCCCCCTCCCAGTACACCGCATACGACCGCCTCCGACCCAAATCCACCTGGGAGTACCGGGCGAGAGTGGTTGAGGGAGAGGGGGGAGAGAGAGAGGGTGGGAGGGATGTCGGATAAGCATGAAGAGAAGGCCGCACGTTCCTTGATAAGGCACAGTGGCACGCATGGTAGTGTAGCGTGCATGGGTGCAGATGGAAGGAAGGAGTATGGTGGACAAATGCGGTGTGTAGCAGAATGCCCAGTGAGGGCAGGCAGGCCGTGGAGGGGCAGGCGGCAGGCAGGGAGAGAACAGCCTTACAGCCTTACCTCATACAGGCAGGGAGAGAACAGCCTTACCTCATAGAGGCCGCCCTTCACCGTCACCCCCATGGGCTCCTCCTCGCCCTCCTCACTCTCCCCCTCACTCTCCTCCCCGTCCCCCTCCCCCTCCCCATCCCCTTGCCTCCCTGCATCGCCTGAATTGTCACTGTCCCACACTCCCCGCTCACTGCTTTTCCTCTCCGCCTCCTCTGCCTCCCTCCCCCCTTCCCCCTCCGCCCCCTCCTCCCGCACGTCCGTCCACAGCCCCTCGCCCTTCTCCAGTCCCCCCTCGTGCCGCCTCGCCTCCTGCCTCCTCCATTCCCTCATCCTCTCCCTTGCCATTTCACGTTCCCTCTCCCTCTCCCTCTCCCTCTCCATCTCCCTCTCCCTCTCCTGCCTCTCTTCCTCCCTCTCCCTCCCTCGTCCCCACCCTCCCCGCCGCCGTCTCTTGCTGCGCAGGGGAGCGGCGATCTGCCACGGACGGATGCGATCGGACGACAGCAGAGGGGCCACCAATGGCAGCAAGCCACCTGGCGCGGGCCCCACTGCAGCGTCAGCATATTCCTTCCACCACAGCGTGAGCAGCTCCTCCTCCCGCTGACGTGGCGGGGCGTGGCGTGGTGTGCAGGGGTGGGGTGGGATGGGATGGGGGCAGAGAGTGGTGAGGTGCGGTGCAGCATGGAAAACCCGGGGCAAAGGATGAAAAGGGCCCTGATGCAAGCGCTTGAATGAAGAGCGCATGCAAAGGATTCACCAGGCGGAAGGATTCACCTGGCGGAAGGATTCACCAGGCGGAAGGATTCACCAGGCGGAAGGATTCACCTGGCGGAAGGATTCACCAGGCGGAAGGATTCACCTGGCGGAAGGATTCACCAGGCGGAAGGATTCACCTGGCGGAAGGATTCACCTGGCGGAAGGATTCACCAGGCGGAAGGATTCACCTGGCGGAAGGATTCACCTGGCGGAAGGATTCACCTGGCGGAAGGATTCACCTGGCAGAAGGATTCACCTGGCGGAAGGATTCACCAGGCGGAAGGATTCACCTGGCGGAAGGATTCACCAGGCGGAAGGATTCACCAGGCGGAAGGATTCACCAGGCGGAAGGATTCACCAGGCGGAAGGATTCACCAGGCGGAAGGTTTCACCTGGCGGAAGGATTCACCTGGCGGAAGGATTCACCTGGCGGAAGAATTCACCTGGCGGAAGGATTCACCTGGCGGAAGGATTCACCTGGCAGAAGGATTCACCTGGCGGAAGGATTCACCAGGCGGAAGGATTCACCTAGCGGAAGGATTCACCAGGCGGAAGGATTCACCTGGCGGAAGGATTCACCAGGCGGAAGGATTCACCAGGCGGAAGGTTTCACCAGGCGGAAGGATTCACCTAGCGGAAGGATTCACCTGGCAGAAGGATTCACCTGGCGGAAGGATTCACCTGGCGGAAGGATTCACCAGGCGGAAGGATTCACCAGGCGGAAGAATTCACCTGGCGGAAGGATTCACCTGGCGGAAGGATTCACCTGGCAGAAGGATTCACCTGGCGGAAGGATTCACCTGGCGGAAGGATTCACCTGGCGGAAGGATTCACCTGGCGGAAGGATTCACCTGGCAGAAGGATTCACCTGGCGGAAGGATTCACCAGGCGGAAGGATTCACCTGGCGGAAGGATTCACCAGGCGGAAGGATTCACCAGGCGGAAGGATTCACCAGGCGGAAGGATTCACCAGGCGGAAGGATTCACCAGGCGGAAGGTTTCACCTGGCGGAAGGATTCACCTGGCGGAAGGATTCACCTGGCGGAAGGATTCACCTGGCGGAAGGATTCACCTGGCGGAAGGATTCACCTGGCAGAAGGATTCACCTGGCGGAAGGATTCACCAGGCGGAAGGATTCACCTGGCGGAAGGATTCACCAGGCGGAAGGATTCACCAGGCGGAAGGATTCACCAGGCGGAAGGATTCACCAGGCGGAAGGATTCACCAGGCGGAAGGTTTCACCTGGCGGAAGGATTCACCTGGCGGAAGGATTCACCTGGCGGAAGAATTCACCTGGCGGAAGGATTCACCTGGCGGAAGGATTCACCTGGCAGAAGGATTCACCTGGCGGAAGGATTCACCAGGCGGAAGGATTCACCTAGCGGAAGGATTCACCAGGCGGAAGGATTCACCTGGCGGAAGGATTCACCAGGCGGAAGGATTCACCAGGCGGAAGGTTTCACCAGGCGGAAGGATTCACCTAGCGGAAGGATTCACCTGGCAGAAGGATTCACCTGGCGGAAGGATTCACCTGGCGGAAGGATTCACCAGGCGGAAGGATTCACCAAGCGGAAGGATTCACCTGGCGGAAGGTTTCACCAGGCGGAAGGATTCACCAGGCGGAAGGTTTCACCAGGCGGAAGGATTCACCTGGCGGAAGGAGGAAGGATTCACCTGGCGGAAGGATTCACCTGGCGGAAGAATTCACCTGGCGGAAGGATTCACCTGGCGGAAGGATTCACCTGGCAGAAGGATTCACCTGGCGGAAGGATTCACCAGGCGGAAGGATTCACCTAGCGGAAGGATTCACCAGGCGGAAGGATTCACCTGGCGGAAGGATTCACCAGGCGGAAGGATTCACCAGGCGGAAGGTTTCACCAGGCGGAAGGATTCACCTAGCGGAAGGATTCACCTGGCAGAAGGATTCACCTGGCGGAAGGATTCACCAGGCGGAAGGATTCACCAGGCGGAAGGATTCACCAGGCGGAAGGATTCACCTGGCGGAAGGTTTCACCAGGCGGAAGGATTCACCAGGCGGAAGGTTTCACCAGGCGGAAGGATTCACCTGGCGGAAGGATTCACCTGGCGGAAGGATTCACCTGGCGGAAGGATTCACCTGGCGGAAGGATTCACCTGGCGGAAGGATTCACCAGGCGGAAGGATTCACCTGGCGGAAGGATTCACCAGGCGGAAGGATTCACCAGGCGGAAGGTTTCACCAGGCGGAAGGATTCACCTGGCGGAAGGATTCACCTGGCGGAAGGATTCACTAGGCGGAAGGATTCACCAGGCGGAAGGATTCACCCGGCGGAAGGATTCACCCGGCGGAAGGATTCACCTGGCGGAAGGATTCACCAGGCGGAAGGATTCACCCGGCGGAAGGATTCACCTGGCGGAAGGATTCACCTGGCGGAAGGATTCACCAGGCGGAAGGATTCACCTGGCGGAAGGATTCACCAGGCGGAAAGACTCACCAGGCGGAAGGTTTCACCAGGCGGAAGGATTCTCCTGGCGGAAGGATTCACCTGGCGGAAGGATTCACCTGGCGGAAGGATTCACCTGGCGGAAGGATTCACCAGGCGGAAGGATTCACCTGGCGGAAGGATTCACCAGGCGGAAGGATTCACCAGGCGGAAGGTTTCACCAGGCAGAAGGATTCACCTGGCGGAAGGATTCACCAGGCGGAAGGATTCACCAGGCGGAAGGATTCACCAGGCGGAAGGATTCCCCTGGCGGAAGGATTCACCTGGCGGAAGGATTCACCAGGCGGAAGGATTCACCTGGCGGAAGGATTCACCAGGCGGAAGGATTCACCAGGCGGAAGGTTTCACCAGGCAGAAGGATTCACCTGGCGGAAGGATTCACCAGGCGGAAGGATTCACCAGGCGGAACGATTCAGCAGGTGGAAGGATTCACCTGGCGGAAGGATTCACCTGGCGGAAGGATTCACCTGGCGGAAGGATTCACCTGGCGGAAGGATTCACCTGGCAGAAGGATTCACCTGGCGGAAGGATTCACCAGGCGGAAGGATTCACCTGGCGGAAGGATTCACCAGGCGGAAGGATTCACCAGGCGGAAGGATTCACCAGGCGGAAGGATTCACCAGGCGGAAGGATTCACCAGGCGGAAGGTTTCACCTGGCGGAAGGATTCACCTGGCGGAAGGATTCACCTGGCGGAAGAATTCACCTGGCGGAAGGATTCACCTGGCGGAAGGATTCACCTGGCAGAAGGATTCACCTGGCGGAAGGATTCACCAGGCGGAAGGATTCACCTAGCGGAAGGATTCACCAGGCGGAAGGATTCACCTGGCGGAAGGATTCACCAGGCGGAAGGATTCACCAGGCGGAAGGTTTCACCAGGCGGAAGGATTCACCTAGCGGAAGGATTCACCTGGCAGAAGGATTCACCTGGCGGAAGGATTCACCTGGCGGAAGGATTCACCAGGCGGAAGGATTCACCAGGCGGAAGGATTCACCTGGCGGAAGGTTTCACCAGGCGGAAGGATTCACCAGGCGGAAGGTTTCACCAGGCGGAAGGATTCACCTGGCGGAAGGAGGAAGGATTCACCTGGCGGAAGGATTCACCTGGCGGAAGAATTCACCTGGCGGAAGGATTCACCTGGCGGAAGGATTCACCTGGCAGAAGGATTCACCTGGCGGAAGGATTCACCAGGCGGAAGGATTCACCTAGCGGAAGGATTCACCAGGCGGAAGGATTCACCTGGCGGAAGGATTCACCAGGCGGAAGGATTCACCAGGCGGAAGGTTTCACCAGGCGGAAGGATTCACCTAGCGGAAGGATTCACCTGGCAGAAGGATTCACCTGGCGGAAGGATTCACCTGGCGGAAGGATTCACCGGGCGGAAGGATTCACCAGGCGGAAGGATTCACCTGGCGGAAGGTTTCACCAGGCGGAAGGATTCACCAGGCGGAAGGTTTCACCAGGCGGAAGGATTCACCTGGCGGAAGGATTCACCTGGCGGAAGGATTCACCTGGCGGAAGGATTCACCTGGCGGAAGGATTCACCTGGCGGAAGGATTCACCAGGCGGAAGGATTCACCTGGCGGAAGGATTCACCAGGCGGAAGGATTCACCAGGCGGAAGGTTTCACCAGGCGGAAGGATTCACCTGGCGGAAGGATTCACCTGGCGGAAGGATTCACTAGGCGGAAGGATTCACCAGGCGGAAGGATTCACCCGGCGGAAGGATTCACCCGGCGGAAGGATTCACCTGGCGGAAGGATTCACCAGGCGGAAGGATTCACCCGGCGGAAGGATTCACCTGGCGGAAGGATTCACCTGGCGGAAGGATTCACCAGGCGGAAGGATTCACCTGGCGGAAGGATTCACCAGGCGGAAAGACTCACCAGGCGGAAGGTTTCACCAGGCGGAAGGATTCTCCTGGCGGAAGGATTCACCTGGCGGAAGGATTCACCTGGCGGAAGGATTCACCTGGCGGAAGGATTCACCAGGCGGAAGGATTCACCTGGCGGAAGGATTCACCAGGCGGAAGGATTCACCAGGCGGAAGGTTTCACCAGGCAGAAGGATTCACCTGGCGGAAGGATTCACCAGGCGGAAGGATTCACCAGGCGGAAGGATTCACCAGGCGGAAGGATTCACCTGGCGGAAGGATTCACCTGGCGGAAGGATTCACCAGGCGGAAGGATTCACCTGGCGGAAGGATTCACCAGGCGGAAGGATTCACCAGGCGGAAGGTTTCACCAGGCAGAAGGATTCACCTGGCGGAAGGATTCACCAGGCGGAAGGATTCACCAGGCGGAACGATTCAGCAGGTGGAAGGATTCACCTGGCGGAAGGATTCACCTGGCGGAAGGATTCACCTGGCGGAAGGATTCACCAGGCGGAAGGATTCACCTGGCGGAAGGATTCACCAGGCGGAAGGATTCACCAGGCGGAAGGTTTCACCAGGCAGAAGGATTCACCTGGCGGAAGGATTCACCAGGCGGAAGGATTCACCAGGCGGAAGGATTCACCAGGCGGAAGGATTCACCTGGCGGAAGGATTCACCTGGCGGAAGGATTCACCTGGCGGAAGGCGGTCTCGAGGGCGTGTGAGTCGCGCGCACTGAAGCGCAGAAAGCCCGCCGAGGAGGCCACCATGGCTTGCGGCACCGCTGCTGCCACCGCTGCTCCCATGCAGACAGACACACACACGTCGACACACACAGAGTAAGAGAGAGCAGGGGGGGAGGGGGCAGGGAAGATAGAAAATTATGTGAAAGCATGAGCGCACAGCATGCATAAAGCACAACCCCATATGGTCTCATATGCCCACTCCACCCATCCCACTGCGATCCTCCTTTTCCCCTTGCGCCCACTCCCTTGTGCTGCGCCTACCGCCCACCCCCCCCCCCACCCACCCCTCCTCCCCCCATGGCAGTGCGCTCACCGCCCTTGACTAAGTGCCCCTTGCTGAAGTACCAGCGCACTTCCCCCCCATCCGACGGGCTCCGCGTGCCCCCCGCCGCGCTGCCCCCCGCGCATCCCGCGCAGGAGCACCCCGCGCAGGTGTGCGCGGAGGAGAAGGAGGAGAGGGAGCGGAGCGAGGGGAGGGACTGCAGCGAGGGGATGGCGGGCAGGTGCAGCGCGGAGGACGCGGGGGACGAGAGCGCGGAGCGCGGGAGCGAAGAGGAGACGGAGGAGGAGGCGCAAGAGAGCTGCGGAAGGTTACTGGGGGGAGGCGGGTGGCGCGCATGGTGGGGCGCGGAGTGGCGCGCATGGTGGGGCGCGGAGTGGCGCGCGGAGAGCGGGGGAGAGAAAGTGTGGGCAGCGCCAGCAGCGGCAGCGCCCACGTGGGAGGGGCGCAGAGGGGAATTCGCACCGGCGAGGGGCAGGGAGGGCTGGCGGGGCGGGGCGCTAGCAGCGGTGGCGTCATGCGACGTCGCCATCATGCTGCGCGATGCCATACGACGTAACTAGCCTGCCATGCGATTCCAGCCAATTGCCACGGGGCTTTGGGTCAGCGCGAGCGGCTGCATGCGGAATCCCTCTTAGCTAAGTTGCGTCTCCAGCGCCGCCAATTCAAGCGGCGGCTGGGTTGCGGAAGAGCGGCGCGAGAAGGCGGCGCGCGCCGACGGGTGTGGAGCGGCGGGCGAGGAGCTCGAGAAGACGCGGCACAAGAGAGCAGCGTGGGCGCAAGCAATCAGAAGTGGTGGTTGTGGTGATTCATGAGCAGCGATGCGAAGCGAGCGAGCAACGGCGAGAATGAAAGGCGCTGCGGATGCGATCAGTGATCGCGTTGTGTGCGTGTGATGGTATGACAAGACATGGCATGGTATGGGTGGTGCAGCACAAGCAGGCGGGGCACACGATGAAGTGCCCTTTCACGAATGGCCAGGGATGGATGCACACGTCAGCCTCGGGCAAATCGACGTGGGGCCAACGGCCTTGTGGCGAATTCGATTTAAGCCCGAAACCTTGATAATGTTTATAATAAAAGCATTACTTGAAATGGTCTATACATTTCCCTAGTGTTGGGTTTGCACATTATCTATTCCTTCCAAAAAAGGAGGTGATTTTTCTATCGCCTGGTTGGGCTTTAAGCGACTTTTTGCCCCGTTGGTTTGAATTCGCAGAGCCCGGCTTCCCAGCGCTGGTTGGTATGGATGTGGACATCTGAGAGACGACAGGAGAGAGGAGTTAGACGGCGTGGCGAAGAAATACAATCACGGTGAGGCAGGGCGCAGCAAGGAGACAACGGCATCGTGGTTACAAGCAGAGAGAGCACACAAGCCAAGGTGCAGGAGAGCAGCCTAGGTGTACCATAGGGCACCTTGGGTTGAGTGGCAGTAGTGGCAGGTGGGCTGGCCAGGCGTTGCCCCCCTTGGTGGCTCTGCTTCAACTCGCCCTCACTGCCCCACGTATGGCAGACAGCAGCCAGCGGCACATGCAGGGTGGAGGGCGCGTGTGGAGGGGGTGGGTGGAGGAGGAGATAGGGACAGAGGGTGGCATGCAGAGGTGTGCGAGGAGAGAGAGGACGGTAAGGCAGCAGAAGCGAAGTGTTTGACGAGGGCATGTGAGGAGCGTGGGCGGCACTGACCTGATGGAGAGGTGGCGGCAGAGGGCAGCGTGGAAGGAGGCGGGCAGATACTCTGACAGCAGCCCCACCGCGTATGCCTCTGTGCGCAAGGGGGGAAAAGAGGGGAGTGGGGAGGGATGTGTGGGGAGGGGCGGGAAAAGAAGCAGCAGCAAGATCCATGGCAGGGCCGATGAGAAGGTAGCTTGAGTGAGAGAAAGAATGTGCGGAAAAGCATCCACGCACGCACGCATGTACGCATGAAAGCATGCACATATGAGCACAGAGGGCAGCACTGCCCTTCACCCACCCAGGTCGGTGTCTGGCAGCCCTCTCACCGGCGCCTCCCCATGCTGCCTCAGCGCTGCCTTGAGCGCCGCCACCTGATGCAGTGAGGGCATGGGTGGCAGGTGGGAGGGGTGGGGGTTGAACAGGAGCAGATTGGAGAGGAGGGAGCAGGGGTGTTGAGAGGAGGGAAAGGATGGCATGCCAGCAGCAGCAGATGGGGCAGTCGAAAAGAGTAACCCCCGCACGAAGCAGCAGCGGATGGGACTGATGCATGGAAAACCCTCCACTCACCTTGCATGTGAGCCATGCCAGCACGCGACTGTCATTCAGCCTGTAGAACCGTGTGCTGCCCACTTCTGCCACACCGCACAGCACCACACAGCACCACACCGTACAGCAGAAGCACACATTGGAGGAATGGGTGGTGGGGGAACGCAAGAGGCAGGGGTGGAGGTCAAGGGGGACGATATTTGAGCGGTGGGACGTGCGGGGCATGAGAGGGGTATGAGAGGGGTATGAGAGGGGTATGAGAGGGGTATGAGAGGGCGAGGGGCATGAGAGAGCGAGGGGGCAGGGCACCTCTGATGTCGGTGATGAGAGGGAGAACGGGATCCCACACTCCCTGCGACTGCAGCCAGCCGTACGATGGAAATCCATCAACGGTGCAGATCTCATCCAGTGATCTGAACATGCCTTCACTGCCTGATCCCTCCTTCTGCAGCATGCATGGGGCATGTGGCATGGGGCATGTGGCATAGTGCACATGGCAGATAAGCAAGAGGTGGGGGGAAGGGAAAGGAGGGAAGAGGGCAGAACCAAAGAGGTGAACCCCTGGGGTGAACAACACGTGGGTGCAAGGGTCACATTCTCCCTCCCGGGCCTCAGGGCCCAATGCAAGCTGCGTGCGCGGTGCAACTGTATAGATGCAATGAGAGGGTGGTGCCATGCCATGTGGGTGTGCGTGGCTGCCATGGAGAGGGAGAGGCGGGCGCGCGCGGCGCGCACGTGGGTTTACCTTCATCCTGCTCTTATCGAGGATGGGCAGGAGCAGGAAGGCAGCATCAATAGGCGTCGCCATGAATAGACTGCCATCTGCCATCACATGCCATGCCATGCCATCCAGACACAGACATGAACACGGTATCCAGCCACCATTCTCCATCCATGCCACGCGTGCAAGCAGTGAAGCAGCAGAGAGGGAATAATGTGGGTGTGACACTCCCTGCCCTCATAGCAACACTCCTATCACTGCCTCTATGCCCCAAGCTATCCCCCATGTCCCATGCCCCATGCCCCCATGCCCCCATGCCCCCATGCCCCCATGCCCCATGCCCCATGCCCCCATGCCCCCATGCCCCATGCCCCTATGCCCCCATGCCCCCATGCCCCATGCCCCCATGCCCCCACGCCCCCAGCACCTTGGAGCACGGAGTCCTTGAGCAGCCACGAGGAGAGCGCGTCTTTGAACCACGCCACCTCCAACACCGCGCCGCCCTGCTGCATGTAGCACGCCGCCGCCCCTGCTCGCACGAACGCATATGCATGGGGCAGGGGCATCAGGCAGGCGCACATGGGGCAGGGCGCATGGGGCAAGGGGGCATGCGGCGCAATGGGCAGGAGCGCAGACGGACGCAATGATGCATGTGAGCGCATGGCGCATGGCGAGACTACCTGCTCCCCTCGCACTCCCCTGCACACGCGCCCCTACTCCCCACGCGCCATCGCGCCCCTACTCCCCACGCGCCATCGCGCCCCTACTCCCCACGCGCCATCGCGCCCCTACTCCCCACGCGCCATCGCGCCCCTACTCCCCACGCGCCATCGCGTCCCCGCCAGTGACGCGCCTGTTTTCTGGTGCGCCAGATGCAGCACGTGCTGCCGCCCGCCCCCTGCGCGCTCTTCCATGGCAGGCCCGGCGGGGGAGCCGCCGCCGCCCACGATCAGCACCCGCCTCTCCGCTGCGCCCGCCATGCGCCGCCACGATCGCGCTGACCGCTGCAATCGCTGCGATCGCTGCTGATCGCTCTGATCTCTGCGATCGGCGCGCAGCGAATGCGACGGCGTGAGAGCAGAGAGTGGCGTGAGCAACGACAGAGGCGGCGAGACGAGTGGTGGGAATGAAGGAGGGAGATCGATTAGCGGGATTTAATGGTGGTGGGCGGGAAGTAGTAATGACAGATTGATCCAAGCCCAACTCGCAACTTGCAACTCCGAACTCTCATTTTGAATCTCCCTCTCCACTGATGGTACACAATACACACGCCTCTCCCACACCTCAACAGCAGCATTTCGTCGCCGCCCATGCACCTCCGCTCCCACATCTTGTCATGTCCTCCACGCTAGCGCCGCCGCCGCTGCCGCAGTGCTGGGCTGGACTCGCGTCTCGTCGCCGCCCCCCACGCGCCGCCAGTAGATCGCGGTTCGCTGCCCCTTCGCAGCCACGCGCATTTCCCGTCTCCTCTTCCGCCGCGCCTTCCGCCGCTCGTTCCGCCACCGCGCATCCCCATGGCTCCCGTCGCTCCGCGCTCAGACCCGCTCCCGCCTCCACCGCGCACTTATCGGCTCGGCGCGCATTGACCACCCCCGCGGTCCTTGACGTCCCGTCGCAGCGCGCCTCGCCGGCAGCGTGCCGTGACGCCGCCGCCAGTGCTGCGGATGGCGCTGACGTGGCAGGGCGGCTGAGCGCGGAGGAGCGCGAGGCGGTGGGCAGTGCTGACGTGGCGATCATAACGAACGGGCCGGGCGAGGTGGCGGCGTGGGTGGCGCCCGTCGTGGCGTCGCTGGCGCGTCTGTTCGGCCCCGACCCCCGCCACCTCCGCATCTCCGTGCGCCCTTCCTCCCCCCTGCCCCGCGCCATGCGACTGCCATGCACGAACCCCCGCGTCTTTTGTCCCCTCGTCCTCTCTCCCATAAGAACGCTCCCTTCCATTCCCACCCGCTCTCCGCTCCCAGCGCCCTGCCATTCCCCCTTCTAAGCTTCCCCCTCCCCCCTCCCCCCAGGTGCTGCTGGCGCCGTGTCCACACGCGTCGGGCAACGAGCTGGCGGTGCTGCGCGCCATGCCGCACGTCCACCGCTGCACGGTGCGCGCACAGGGGGGAAGGGGCGGCTGTGGGTGGAAGGGGAGGGCAGGGGTGGCGGTGGGTGCAGAGAGGAGGGCCGGGGTGCAGGGCGCTGTGGGACTGGGGGCGGGGAATCTGCAGGAGAGAATGGAGGGACGGACGTGCGATGATCATGTGCAGCGGGTCTGTGCGCTGCGCCCACACTTGTCTGCCGCCTCACCGCCCACGCTGCGCCCCTGCTGCACCACCCGCACATTCCACCCGCACCTCACCTCCTACCCCTATCCCATACCACGCCCCATGCCTCATCCTGCTGCCCCTTACCCCACCCACCCCCACCCAGCCCCACCCACCCGCAATCATCCCCACTCTCTCCCCACACGCTCCTCGCGCCCACCACCCAGGGCCCCCAAGATTTCCTCCACATGCTGCTCTTCACCCGCCCTGCTGCCGCCGCTGGGGGCCAGCACACGGGCGGGGGGAGAGGGGAGGGGGAAGCCTCCGGGGGGAGAGCAGACGACCAGCAACGGCACCAAGCGGAGGGGGAGAGGGAAGGGCAGGGGGAGCGGAAGGGGGAGTGGGGGTGGCGGAGGCGGGGCGTGGTGGTGTTTCTGGGCGGCGAGCAGGCGAATGCCGTGCTGCTAGCGCGGCGCCTGGGGTACCGCTGCCTCGTGTACGCCGAGGATGCTGCTCGCTGGCCCTGGTGGGTTGCAGGGTTGGGTGGGAGGGGGAGGGGTTGGGGGGTGGGGGCAGGTGTGTGTAAGGGGGGAGTGGATGCCAGAAAGCCAAGGTGAGTGGTTCCGTGCAGTGGTGAGGTGGTGTTGATTGGTTGAATCTTAAATCAAACTTCCCCCTCCCGTCCTTCTTCCCCTCCTCCCCCCAGGCTGGTGGATATGAGTGCGCTGCGCTCACCTGTGCTGCTGCCCGCCATCCCGCCCGCCCTGCTGGCCGCCCGCCGTGCCCGCGTGGTGGGGGACCTCTTCCTCTCCGCTGTGGCGCAGGCGCAGGGGACGAGGGGCGCGCAGGAGGGGAGGCGGGAGGAGGGTGAGGTGGTGGTGGGGCTGCTGCCAGGAAGCAAGGTGAGCAACCATGGGGACTTTTCCGCGTCAATCACTCGTGAGCTCCTGTGTGTTTGCCAATGCAAGCGTGCATGCACTTGTGTGTATATGTCATACTCTTGCTAATGTGTGTATGTCATGCGCCCTGTGCCATGCCATGCCATGCACGTGCACCCGTGTGCCACATGCTGTGTGGTGGCAGGACGTGAAGCTGATGGTGGGAGTGCCCTTCTTCCTCTCCGTCGCACATGCACTCAACAAGACCTGCTCTCACGGGTGAGTGAGCAGGCAGGTGAGCAGGCAGGTGAGCAGGCAGGTGAGCAGGCAGGTGAGCAGGCAGGTAGGCAGGCAGGTGAGCAGACAGGTCACCACCACCCGCAGCCATCACCTGTCACTGCCCATACATCCACCACATCCCGCTTCTCTCCCCAGTCCCATCCACTCCTCGTCCCTCCTCCCCCATCCTCCCCCCAGCGCCCCCCGCATGCGCTTCATCCTGCCTTTGGCCCCCACGGTGCAGCCGGCCTCGCTGGTGCGCTTTGCCTCGTGGCGCCACAACGCACTCATCGCCCGCCACACCTGGCTGCCCGCCCGCCTGCTGCCCCCCGCCCCCCCGGGCGCAGGGGGGGATGCACGGCCCTCTCCGCCAGGGGGAGGGGAGGGGGTGGGGTGGGAGTATCTGGGGAGACTGGTTTCTGGGGAGGAGGAGGGGGAGGGGGGAGACAGGGAAGGGAGTGAAGGGGAGGAGAGGTGGGAGGGAGGGGAGGGGGCGAGGGGGGATGAGGGAGTGGAGGTGGAGGTGGAGGTGGAGGTGGAGGTGGAGGTGGAGGTGGAGGTGTGGAGGGCGTGTCCCTCGTATGCTCTGCTCTCGCAGTGCTCGCTCGCCCTCACCACTGTGAGCCCGCCTCATGTGCTCCTTTGGCACTGCTGCATGCCTGCCTTATGCCCACACTAAGGCGGCTGTGCTGGCCACATCACTTGCCGCTGTGGCTCTTTGCTTTGTGATTGGCCCGCAAGCCATGTGATTGTGACATGTGGCATGGGTGACGTGGCATGGCAGGTGGGCACCAACACTGCTGAGCTGGCAGCTCTGGGAGTGCCCATGGTGGTCGTCCTGCCCAGTCTCTCACTTGAGGTGCGTCCCTGCCCATGCATGCTCGCTGTGATTCAAGTGCACGAGGCTTTCGGCTGGGTTGTCAATGCACCGCACTGTCCCTCCCATGCTTCGCCCTCCCTTACTTCTTGCTGCTGCCCTTCCTTCCTCCACGTCTGCCACTCCACATCACACCTCCTCCCTCTCCCCCTCCCCTCCCCTCCTCTCTCCACGTCAGCTGTTCCAAGGGGGGGCAGGGGGCGTGTTGGGGTTGCTGCCAGCACTGCTGCCTGCGGGGCCAGCAGCAGCGCTCACTCGCTTCCTCAACGCCTCGCTGCTCCGCTCACTGCCCTTCCTCGCCTGGCCCAACCGGTACCCCCTCACCTCTTCCCTCACCTTTTCCCCTTCTTCTGCCCCTGCTTCGTTCTTCCAACCCTCGCCTTGCCATCCCCCCAATGCCATCCCTCGTATCACTTCCCTCCAAGACTCCTTTCACTGCCTCCTCCACGCCCACCCGAATTCACTTCCACCACCATCCCTCCCTCCCCCTTCCTCCTCCCCCAATGCTCGTCTTCCCTGAGCGGCTGTGCAGGTGGGCGGGGCGGGAGGTGGTGCCGGAGGTGGTGGGGGAGGTGGGACCGGGGGAGGTGGCAGCTGTGGCAGCACGCCTGCTGGGGGACGCGGCTGCACTGGAGGCCATGGGGAGGGCGCTCAGGCAGGTGGCGCGCGAGTATGGGGGGGCCAAGGGGAGTGCCTCAGGGGAAGGCGAGGGGGAGGGTGGGGGGAGTGATGGAGGGGGGAGTGGTGAGGGTGCAGCGGATGCGATCGCAGATGAAGTGCTGAAGCTGCTTCTCATGTAGCATAGCAGCATGCCGCATAGGCGTCTGAGATGAATGACTGCTTTACCCTTGCTTGCTGCTCACCTGGCAGCATGCTCATGTTTAGAGGCGTTTTTTATTAAATGCATTGGAAATGTACCATGCTGATTTTAACCAAAAGAGGAGCTGGAGGAGGTGTGTACCTGTGAGGCCACCCAGAGTTGTGGTATTGATCCAATATTTCTAGAACGGCTATGAATCAGCAAGACCAGAGGATAAGCATTGAATATAAATTATGTATCACGGTTTTACACGCGGAGATCTCGAGTGGTCATCTCTGAGCGTGCGCACGTGGCACCTTCTAACCATCTATTGCTGACATCAGCAGTCAGACAACCACAAACAGGCATTTACCAATCACCGCACACGCCCCTCGTGTCTTCACCTCTGCACCTACAACTTGCCACCCGCATTACCAAGCACGCACCTTTCTCATTCGACTGCCTCGCTCACCGTCCCGCGCGCTGCCCCCGCCGCACTCGCCGTGCGCCGCACTGCTATTAAGTAACATTGCCAGACACCATGGCGGCCCTCACCGTCGCCTCCTCTCTCCCCGCGCGCCTAGCTCCGCGCGCCGTCGCGCGCACCTCCGCTCTCGCGTCCTCCCGCGCCGACACTGGCGCATGCTGTCCGCCTATCCGCGCATCCAGTCTCCGCGTCCCCCGCACTCCTCAGACCATCACTCGGCAAACGCGGACTCCGCGATTGGTCGTTGCGGCCGCAGGCGACAGGGTGAGGCATCATGGTGTGTCGCACATCGTCGCCAGCATGTGTGGTCGAATTATCAAATGCGTAGATTTGCGACAGCAGCAGCGCTGCTCGCACGCCCACCTCCCCTCGTCCCTCGCGCCTTCCGCTCGTCCTGATCGTTCTCGTTGCTCTCCCAGCGCTCCCAATTCTCCCTCTCGTCCCGCGTCGCCATCTCTCGCTCGCCCCGCCATCCACCGAGTCTCCTCTCGGCGCGCGCAACAAACATGCGCACTTTCCCCCCCCGCTCGTGCTTCCCTCCCCTGCTTCCCCCCTGTGTGCGCGCTCACTGTGCGCGGGAGGGCAGGCGGCGGTGGACTGGGCGGCGGTGCGCACGACGGACCATCTGACGGTGGGCGACTGCATGTCGGCCGGCAAGCTCGTGTGCGCGCAGCCCTCCACCACCGTCGATCAAGGTCCGTGCAGCACCGGCGATCAATGTCCGCCAACGTATGCAATATTGAACCAAGCGCAACGGAAACTCGGTGCTTGCTCTAAGTCGGTCCGGCCTCTCGCCATTGTTCTCCACCCCCTTCCGCCCCTCCCCCTTTCCCCGCCATCTCCCCCTTCTCCCTCTTCCACCCCCTTTCTCCCCCTCCCCCCTTCTTTCCCCCGCCTCCCCCCACCCCACCCCCCCTTGTGCGCGCAGCGCTGGAGCTGCTGGTGGAGCACCGCATCACAGGCATGCCCGTGGTGGACGCGGAGGGGCGCCTGGTGAGCGGGGGAGGGGGAGAGGGATGGGCTGAGAGAGGGTGGGTGATGGGGGAGAGAGGGGGAAAAGGGGGGATAAATGTAGTGCTGTACAGCATTTCGAGTTGCACATTCGTGCTTGGCAGAATCACACCCACACACGCCGCGTTCACATTTCCCCAGAATCACAATCTCCCCGTCCGCACCTCACACCAGCACCCGCCTCTCCCTCCATGCACGCATGTGCGGATACGCATGGCATGGCATGGCATGGCATGGCATGGCATGGCATAGCACGTCATGGCATGGCATGGCACGTCATGGCATGGCATGGCATGGCACGTCATGGCATGGCACGTCATGGCATGGCATGGCATGGCACGTCATGGCATGGCATGGCATGGCAGGTGGGCGTGGTGTCGGACTATGACCTCCTCGCCCTCGACTCCATCTCCGGTGCGCCCCTGCCCCACCCCTCCTCTGCTCTGCTCTTCCCTTATCTTCTCTGCTCTTCCCGCCCCCCTTCTGCTCTCCCCGCCCCTCCACTGCTCTCCCCGCCTCTCCTCTCCTCTGCCCGCCACACCCTGTCGCCCCTCCTCTTCCCTGCCCGCCCCCCCCTGTTCTCTCTCCTTCCTCCCCTCACCTCTCTCACTGCGCTCTCACATCTCACACTCTCTTCGTTTTCCTCTCTCACTTTTTCCCCTTTCCACGCCTCTCACCCACAGCCCCTGCTATCCCAGCAACTACATTGCTGATCGTGCCCCCCATCCCCATGGCACCTGCCATCTCTCTGTGCCCGCCTGCCCCCATGCACATGGCATGGCATGGCATGCAGGTGTGGGGTCATCTGGGCCGTCCTCCTCGCTCTTCCCCGAGGCCGGCAGCACGTGGAAGGTGCACCTCCCCCATCCCTTCACACCACCCACACCCTTCCCCTCCCCCGGGCCCTTCTCTCGCCCACTCACCCACGTGTTTCTGCCCACCACCCCTATTCTGCTGCTGCTGTGTCTCCTCCATTCTCCCCGCACCTTGCACTGCGCTCTCCCTTCACCACACACGCCCCCCACATGTACCATAACATCTCCCCTTCCCTCCCTCTCCCCACCTTCCCATGTTCATCTCCCACCCCCCTTCTCCCATCCCCCATCTCCCATCCCCCATCTCCCATCCCCCTTCTCCCATCCCCCATCTCCCATCCCCCATCTCCCATCCGCCTTATCCCATCCGCCTTCTCCCATCCCCCATCTCCCATCCCCCTTCTCCCATCCCCCACCTCCCCACGGCCATGGGCGCGCTCACGTGGCACGGCAGGCGTTCAAGGAGATTCAGAAGCTGCTGATAAAGACGAGGGGGCGGGTGGTGGCGGATGTCATGACGCCCCACCCGCACACCGTGCACCCCTCCACCAACCTCGACCAGGCCGCCAGGTCACACGCGCGCCCCCACCGCCCCACCACACTACCCTCCTGCACTGCATCTTTCTTTGGCTGCACCCATGCCTCCCTGCAACCATGCCTCTCTGCCCCCATGCCTCCCTGCACCCATGCCTGCTTTCTGAAAGTCAAGGCTTCCAGGTCATACCCGTTTTCTTGCCTCCTGTCCCTACCTCCGTACCTCCTTCTGTTCCTCCCCTCCCATGAAAAGCTTCCGTTTCCCCCTTCCACATCCCATCAACCCCAATCGCCGCTTCATCCAATGTTCCCCTTCTCTGGCCCCCGCTCTCTCTCTTGCTTGCCTTCCATTCTCTCTCTCTGCTCCCTCCCCAACCCCAACCCTTTCGCTTGCTGCTGGCAGGATGCTGTTGGAGAATCAGCACCGCCGGCTGCCTGTGGTGGACGGCAACGGCAAACTGGTACGCGCCCCGCAGGAATGAAGAGGAACGATGGCACACCTCGGTCCGACATGCCAGCACGCACTGAGCACCTTGCGCTTCAACCTGCAAGGACATGTACAACTTATGAGATTACTTGACAACACTGCAAACTTGGTTTAGCACTGCAGACTTATTCTGTGCGTGTGTGCTGCTGTGGTGTGGTGCAGGTGGGGCTCATCACTCGCGGCAATGTGGTGAAGGCAGCCCTGGCTCTCAAACGAGCTGCCGAGAGGGATCAGGCGAAAAGTGCTGCTCAGTAACTAGATACTTGTAACACAATATATAATCTGTACGGTAGTACCACCAATGGTCTGTATTGGGTAATGTGCAAGTTTGCGGTCCTACAGCGAAGCTTGTTTTAACGTGTAGATCAGGGCCTGTGCTAGCCCCAGCCTCCTTCCTCCCCTCTCCCCCTCTCCCCCCCTCCACCCCTTCCCCTTCCCACGAGTCAAGGCATCCCACTACACTACCGTATCGCCCCGGATATAACCGCAGGCCAGCGCATGCGCTTATATCTAGAGCAGTGCGCTTATGGCCGATCTTAAATTAGAAGCGCATCCCTTATAAATTCGTTACTTATTATAAGTGCACCCTTGTAATAAAAAAAAACACACTTTGAATATGTCATTATCTTAAGAGCTAAAGCAAGGCTAGCCTTTAATAGGAAATTTTGCACTACCTAAAAGTTTTGCACATACAATAGGGTGACTAATGTCCTAGCCTAAACACCATCTTGCCTAGTCTAGCCTTAGGCCTCCACTTCCTCCACGTCCGATTCAGGCTCCGTGGAGTTGTTGCCCCAGAACCCGTCTGCTTGGATGTCGTCGTCTACCTCTACCTCGTGGCTCAGCTGGCTTCTCCGGTGCGCCATCACCATATGGTCCTCGCTCCCGTCGAGGGCATTGCTGATGCCGCACGTGAGGAAGGATTTCTTAATCAGGTCGGCGGGCACGGCCTTCCACGCCCGTGAAATCCACTTGAGCACCACCTCCGGGGGTGGTTTCTTGATGTTCCCTGCACCACATGAAAGGGAGTGGGGAGATTAGAACACAACCAGGCAGACAAGCACACGAAGGGGAGACGGGAGGACATGTCCTCGCTCACCTGCAGGTGTTAGGATGTTCATGCCGTCCGCCTCAAACCAAGACTGGTACTGCTGGCGAACACTTGCTTTGAAGCTCTTGTTCACCGACTCATCGAGCGGCTGCACGTCTGCCATGCATCCCGCTGGGATGACCGCCGGCACGATGTTGAGCGCCGCGAATCTCGCCTTGACTTCCTTGGTAAGGTGACCACGGTAGGAGTCGAGTACTAGCATGGCGCTCCGACTCTGCACGCCGAATTTGGGCTTCAAGAACGGCACCACGCCCTCATCGAGCCACTGGATGACGCCCGTGGCCTCCATCCACCCGTTCGCTTGGCAGCTGACCACGACATCTGCACACAAGCAAGCGGTGGTTAGTCTCCTTTTTTTATATAACGTGCAGAACACACACAAGAACATGTGCTTGTCAAACATATGTATAGCTATGTTATATTTTGGGTAGGCTTAGTGGGGTACACATTGTAGGGTACAACCCCTTAGGTTGATTTTCCTTTGTACCACCATCTCGATAGTCCACATTCACCATGCCTAACTTCTAAGATGGTATCTAGAGCATAGGTCGTTAGTACCTAAGATTAGGGCCCACCGATTACTGCATTACTTCGTCTGCCTTGCCTGCTGCCCGCGCGCGCCTCGGCTGCACGCGCGCGGCCTCTTTTTTTTTCCGTGCGCGCCACTTAGGCAGCCCGCGCGTAGCCCGTTTTCGGCCCCGTGCGCCACGTCAGCCACCCGCGCAGCCTGCCGCCGGCCCGCGCGCCGTGTAAGCCGCCCGTGCGCACCCGCTTAGGCCCTGCGCGCCGCGTCCGTGTAGCCCGTTTTAGGGCCCACGCGCCGTGTAGCCCGTTTTAGGCCCCACGCACCGTGTAGCCCGTTTTAGGCCCCACACGCCGCGCCAGCCGCCCACGCAGCCTGCCGCCAGCCCGCGCGTCGCCACGAGCAGCCCGCAGCTGCGCGCGCTGCCAGTAGCCACGTGCAACCTGCAGCCTCGTGCAGCAAGCCGCCACACGCAGCCAGCAGTCTCACGCAGCCCTCAGGCCGCTCCTGCCTGCTGCCTACCTGCTGCCTGCCTGCCTGCCTGCTTGCTGCCTGCTGCCGCCTGCCTGCAACCTGCCTGCTGCCTGCCTTCTGCCTGCCTACTGCTTGCTGCCTACTGCCGCCTGCCTGCTTGCTGCCTGCTGCCGCCTGCCTGCAGCCTGCCTGCTGCCTACCTGCTGCCTGCCTGCCTGCCTGCTTGCTGCCTGCTGCCGCCTGCCTGCAGCCTGCCTGCTGCCTGCCTGCTGCCTGCCTACTGCTTGCTGCCTACTGCCGCCTGCCTGCTTGCTGCCTGCTGCCGCCTGCCTGCAGCCTGCCTGCTGCCTGCCTGCTGCCTGCCTACTGCTTGCTGCCTACTGCCGCCTGCCTGCTTGCTGCCTGCTGCCGCCTGCCTGCAGCCTGCCTGCTGCCTGCCTGCTGCCTGCCTACTGCTTGCTGCCTGCTGCCGCCTGCCTGCAGCCTGCCTGCTGCCTGCCTGCAGCCTGCCTGCTGCCTGCCTGCTGCCTGCCTACTGCTTGCTGCCTGCTGCCGCCTGCCTGCAGCCTGCCTGCAGCCTACCTGCTGCCTGCCTACTGCTTGCTGCCTGCTGCCGCCTGCCTGCTTGCTGCCTGCTGCCGCCTGCCTGCTACCTGCCAGCTGCCTGCCTACTGCTTGCTGCCTGCTGCCGCCTGCCTGCTTGCTGCCTGCTGCCGCCTGCCTGCCGCCTGCCTGCTTGCTGCCTGCTGCCTGCCTGCTGCCAGCCTGCTGCTTGCTGCCTGCTGCCCCCTGCCTGCTTGCTGCCTGCTGCCGCCTGCCTGCGAATATGGCGACGCCTAACGTTCTAGCGTTCGAGCCCGACGGACGTCCCATCGAGTTCACTGTGTGGTTAGACGATCTCCAGCTGTTCCTTCTGACTGATGCCAAAGAGGGCGTTTCCCTGTTTGATTACGTCTCTGGCACTGCCGTTACTCCTGCTGCTGATGCTCCTGCTCTAGAACGTTCCCAGTGGCAGACCCGTGATGCTGCTGCACGCCTAGCTATTAGGAACCACCTGCCGATTACTGAGCGAGCGCATTTCAGCCAGCACAGAACTGCTAAGACACTATACGACGCTGTAGTTGCGCGCTACTCCTCCCCGGCCACTGCAGCCATAGGTCGACTCATGCTACCGTACCTGTTCCCCGATCTTTCCTCGTTCACCACCGGACCTAGTTTCTCACCTGCGCGCTACTGACTCTCGCTTTCGTGCCGCCCTTTCAGCCGAGTTCTGCGCCGCAAACCCCCCCCCGATGTACTTCACTCTCTATTTCCTCGTCACCCGCCTCCCTGACACTCTTAGCTCTGTCAGGGACCACTTCCTAGCGCTAGACCCCACCACTCTCACTGTCGACGACTTCGAGAAGCACCTCCTCGCAGTAGAGAAGAACATCCTCGCTGTAGGTGCTGCTCGTGGCACCCCTCGCTCTCCCCTCTTTGAGGGGTGCTCCCCCTCCCCTCTCACCCCCTCCTACGCCTCCGCAGCTGCTGCTCACGACTACCTTGGTGCTGAGGGGGTCGGAGCTGCTTCCGCTCCTAGTGGGAAGCGTCGCAGCGGCAGGGGCGGCAGGGGTGGCAGGGGCGGTGGGGGTGGCGGTGGAGGTGGCGGTGGTGCAGGCGGCGGGGGAGGTGGAGGTGGTGGGGGTGGTCGTGGGGGTGGAGGCGGTGGAGGTGGTGGTGGGGGCGGCGGAGGCACTGGGAGCGGTGGAGGGGGCAGCAGCGGCGGTGGGGGAGGAGGGGGCGGTAGTGGCATTGGTGGTCAGGCCCAGCAGCAGCCGCAGCAGCAGCAGCAGCAGCAGCAGCAGCAGCAGCAGCATCAGCGTCAGCGCCAGACCCCCACTTCCCAGCAGCTTCTTGACTGGTATGCCGGGCGTGGGGCTTCTGGGGGTCCTGGTCGCTGCCCCTATATAATCCGCACAGGTCCCCGCGCTGGTCGCCAGTGCACAGGTTTTCACACTGAGCAGCGCTGCTTCGCTCGGCTTAGCGACGCCTGGCGCGCCAAGTTTCCTGATGCTACTGAGTTCCCCAACTGGGCAGACTTGCTTAGACATGATGTACCTATCTTTGATCTTGACTATGAGGCAATTCTTGCTGCTATGTATGCCTTGTCTGTTAGTGCTGAGGGTGACTGCTACTTGTGTGTGCCGCCGGATCCTGGTATAGCCCCTGGTATAGCCCCTGCAGCACTAGGTGCTTGTGAGTCTGCTCCCCTTGGTACTGCGCCTGCACAGGCTTTGCACACATTTACACTTGACTCTGGTGCTTCCCGTTGTTTCTTTCGCGACAGTACCACAGTCACTCCCCTCCCTGCACCTGTTCCTGTCTCACTGGCTGACCCCTCTGGGGGCCCAGTGCTTGCACGGTCTTCCACTGTGCTTCCGTGTCCGGCGGTCCCGTCTGGTGAGCTGTCTGGTCTCCACCTCCCCTCGTTCTCTACGAACTTGGTGAGTAACGCTGTCCTCCAGGATGCGGGGGTTGACACCTTCACCCCTGGCCGGCAGCGTGTGGCGATTTGCACGTGCTCCCAGACTGGTCGCCACCTGGCCACGTTCGCTCGTGCGCCAGGGTCCAGTCTCTACACCCTCACCACTGCGTCACGCTCCACCCCTTTGTCTCCCCAGTTGCACGCGTCTGCTCAGGTAGCTACACAGTGTGAGTGTCGCCGGCTGTCGCACGACACTCTCCTGTGGCACCACCGCCTTGGTCACCCCTCCCTGCCTCGCCTACGCAGCATGCACTCCCGCCTCCTGGTTTCTGGGCTTCCCAGGTCTCTGCCTGCCCTCCCTCCCTCGCCTGCGCCGCCCTGCATTCCCTGCGTCGAGGGGCGGCAGCGCGCCGCTCCTCACTCATCCTCGTTCCCTCCCACAGAGGCTCCACTGCAGACTCTCCACCTGGACGTGTGGGGCCCAGCCCGCGTCCGTGGACAGGGCCACGAGCGGTACTTCCTGCTGGTTGTCGACGACTACACGCGCTACACCACGGTCTTCCCCTTGCAGCGCAAGGGGGATGTCCCTGATGTTTTGATCCCCTGGATCCGCGCTACTCGTCTCCAGCTCCGCGAGCGGTTCCAGTCGGACTTTCCTGTCCTGCGTCTGCACTCTGACAGAGGTGGTGAGTTCTCCTCAGACCTCTTGGCAGCCTTCTGTGCGGAGCACGGCATCCGCCAGACTTTCACGCTTCCGGCCTCTCCTCAGCAGAATGGGGTTGCTGAGCGCCGCATTGGCTTAGTCATGGAGGTCGCTCGTACCTCCATGATCCATGCGGCTGCCCCCCATTTTCTGTGGCCGTTTGCGGTCCGGTACGCCGCGCATCAGCTCAACCTTTGGCCCCGTGTCTCCTTGCCGGAGACCTCGCCCACACTGCTATGGACGGGGAAGGTTGGCGACGCGTCGCGTTTCCGGGTCTGGGGTGCTCGTGCCTTTGTCCGCGATACCACCGCGGACAAGCTCTCCCCTCGCGCCATTCCTTGCGTCTTCCTTGGCTTTGTCCCTGACGCGCTTGGCTGGCAGTTTTACGACCCCGCCT